GGATAGCCCACAAGGGGTGCCCCCCATGGGAGTCCGAATTGGACTAGGGGAGGGGGCGGCGCCCTCTTTCCCTCTCCTACTCCCTCTCCCTTTCCCCCTTTCCCACTCCGGAAAAGGAAAGGGGAATCCTACTAGGACTAGGAGTCCTAGTAGGACTCCCCCCATGGCGCGCCCCTCTAGGCCGGCCACCTCCTTTCCCCTCCTCCTTTATATTCGGGGGCAGGGGCACCCCAAAGCACAACAATTGTTCTCTTAGCCGTGTGCGGTGCACCCCTCCACAGTTTACTCATCCGATCATAGCATCGTAGTGCTTAGGCAAAGCCCTGCGCGGATCACATCACCATCACCATCACCACGCCGTCGTGCCGACGAAACTCTCCCTCGACCCTCTGCTGGATCAAGAGTTCAAGGGACGTCATCAAGCTGAACGTGTGCTGAACTCGGAGGTGTCGTATGTTCGGTACTAGATCGGTTGGATCGTGAAGAAGTTCGACTACATCAACCGCGTTGTCAAACACTCTCCCCCTCTCGTTGCTATGCATCTCCTAGATAGATCTTGTGTGAGCATAGGACATTTTTGAAATTGTATGCTACGTTCCCAACAATTGGATCACGAAGACGTTTGACTACATCAACCGTATTTCTTAATGCTTCCGCTTAGCAATCTACAAGGGTATGTAGAGCCAATCTCTCCTCTCGTAGATGTGCATCCCCTAGATTGATCTTGGTGAGCGTAGGAATTTTTTTTGTTTCCCATGCAACGTTCCCGAACAGAAAATAGCCTTCTAACAGCACCATACTTCGAGGAGGAAGTTAGAAAGGCAGTTTTGCTAATGAAGCACAACAAATCCCCAGGTCCGGATGGTTTTCCCATGGAGTTCTATCAGAACTTTTGGGAAGTCATCAAACCGGATCTCCTCCTCTTGTTTAGCTACCTACATGTTGGCCAACTAGATTTGTTTCATTTAAACTTCAGTGATATTATTTTATTACCTAACGTTAATGAGGCTAAAAGGATACAACAATATAGACCTATTTGCCTCCTTAATGTTAGTTTTAAAACATTCACAAAGGTTGCGACTATTAGGCTAAATTCAATAGCTCAACATGTGGTTCGTCCTTCACGGACAACTTTTATGCAAGGTGGACACATCCTAGATGTTTTTTTAAAGGAAAGCGATGGGGAAAGCCCCCCACAACGAGTTTTTTTTAAATAATAAGAACCCAAATTCGCGCCCGCGAGGACTTGAACCTGGGTGGCTGGGTTGTACATCCACTCCACTAGCCAAGTGAGCTAGGCTCACTTCTTCCATCCTAGATGGTGTTGTTATCCTTCATGAAACTATCCATGAATTACATCAAAAAAAGTTGAATGGGGCGGTCCTTAAAATAGACTTTGAAAAAACTTATGGCAAAGTCAAATGGACATTTCTTCAACATACTCTCAAAATGAAAGGAGCGCGCTATGATCCATAGCTTCGCTTTAGGAGGTAGTGTTGCCATTAAGGTCAATGATGACATTGGCCACTATTTCCAAACGAAGAAGGGATTGCAACAAGGTGACTCGCTATCTATTCAATATAGTGGCGGATATGCTAGCATTCATGATTGAGCGTGCCAAGGATGATGGATAAATTGATGGGGCGGTAAATCATCTAGTTGACGGTGGTCTCTCTATACTTCAGTATGCCGATGATATGATTCTCTTCATGGATCATGACCTCAAGAAAGAGAGAAATCTTAAATTAATTTTATCAGCATTCGTCTTAAGATCAATTTTTATAAAAGTGAATTGTTTTGCTTTGGCGAGACTCAAGATGAGGCTCACCTGTACGCCGACCTATTCGGATGCGGGCTGGGCCAGTTTTCGGTCATATATTTGGAGATACTGATACATTATCGGAGACTCGCAAATGCTGAATGGAAACACGGCGAGGAGAGGCTGCAAAAAATGCTTAGCATTTGGAAAGATAAATGGTGTCTCTAGGCGGAAGACTGGTCCTCATAAATTCAGTACTAAGTAATATGGTACTATATATGATTTCCTTCCTCCAATTGCCGAAAGGAGTTTTACATAGATTGGATTATTTATGATCAATATTCTTTTGGCAAGGAGATAGCGAGATAAAGAAATATCGACTGGCTAAATGGAGTGTGGTTTGCCATCCCAAAGACCAAGGCAGGTTGGACACTCATGACCTTGAGGTTAAGAATCGGGCCCTACTCGGTAAATGTGTGTTTAAATTACTGACGGGAGATGGTGTATGACAAACCCTCCTCGGGAGAAAATATGTGGGCTCCAAAGAGGTATCCCAAGTATACTGGAAGCCTGAGGATTATCACTTTTGGGCGGGTCAAATGGCTACGAAGAAATATTTCTTCTGCTATGGATCCTTCTCAATTAAGGATGGCTCGAAAATTAGATTCTGGGAGGATAAGTGGCTAGGAAATACCACTCTCCAGGAACAATATCCGGCTCTATACAATATTGTGCGTCACAAGGGTGATATTATCGCCAGGTAATGGAGTCATTTCCGCCAAGGGTGACCTTCAGAAGGGATTTAATTGGACCCATACTCCAATCGTGGAACATCCCGTTGCAGCGGTTGTCCACAGTGCAATTGTCAGATGGGTCCGATGTATTCCGATGGGACCTATATAGGAATGGTCAGTTCTCAGTGGAATCCATGTATAGAGGGTTAATCCAGCCTGACTTGCCAGTTGATAGTAACAAGAAGATCTAGAAGATGAAGATACCGCTTGAGAATAAAATCTTTGCATGGTATCTTTGTCGTGGAGTCATTCTTACTAAAGATAACCTTATTAAGAGGAATTGGCATGAAAGTCGAAAATGTGTCTTTTGTCACCATGATGAGACAATAAAACATTTATTCTTTCAATGCAAATTGGCTCGTTCTATATGTCAGTCATCCAAATAGGTTCTGGCTTGTATCCTCCTTGTAGCGTTGCTAATGAATTTGGTAATTAGCTACATGGGATTGATCACAAGTTTAGAACTCTTCTCAGGGTGGGAGCGCTTGCCGTTATTTGGTCGCTTTGGCTATGTAGAAATGATAAGGTTTTTAACAAAAAAATACTTCTCTTATGCACGTTATCTACAGATGTATCGAGACTCTTCGTTTATGGTCCTCTCTACACGGCGTGGAGAATTGAGATATGTTTATGAAGGTGTGTACACGATCGGAGGCTACAACGAGGGATACTTTTATCCAACATGGGTGGCAGCATGATCTTAGGATTGACCCCCCTCCCCTCCGCTTTAGGCGTTATAAGGACTCCACATGTTTCTTTGTATTTTGCCTTTTTATTTTTCGTTTGAATGAGAGGACATTGTTTGGCTATGTGCATCTTAACTATGCAGTAGCCAGATGTATTTAAGTAATAAAGCGTCCCTTTTTGAAAAAAAAAACAGTTGTCAAATACATTAGCAACACTATAAGGAAGATACAAACCAGAAGCTATCTGGAGTGACCATATAAAACGAGCCAATTTGCATTGGAAATTAAATATTTTATTGTCTTATCATGGTGACAAAAGACACATTGCAGACTTTCATGCCAATCGGGAGGCTTATGGCAACTGAGTACATTTTTTACCAGAATCGTCGCATCAACGGGTATTATGCCAATGAGCCTGATATGTCGACTTCGCTAGAGTTGCTCTTAGACAAAGGAATGTACAATAGTCAATAATTTCTCACAAGTTGCAGCGAACCTTAAGTGTAGATTTTTTTTCCCCAAATACAAAAATATGCATATGTAATTAATCATAATAGTAAACACAATGGCCTGAATTCTCTGAAATGTCACACATGTATCAATCAGAAAGGGATTCAATGCAACTGATCTCATCTTAGTTATTTGTAGATAATGAACAACGTAACACTGTACCTGAGACACGCTTGACTTGTAGCATAGTTATCATGGGCCTTGGATAACATGGTAAGTGGTTACAGATCAGACATCTTAATTTTCCTCTCTGCTAAGTTTGCAACTGTAGATTTGCCACTTCTCCCAAAGAGAAAGCAATATTGAAACACCACATACAATCTTCTTGTGAAAATGAAACATTGACCTGACTCAAATGAGGACAGGCATCAAATGCACAAACCTATTCCTCAAGCTATACTTTACCCAGTTCTACAAAACCTAAATCTGACATGCACAATTATACTAACAAAATAGCTGCAATTTGGCAATTATACTATCATGGCCATGACAATTATATACCAAGCTTAAGAAGTCTGACAGTTCCTGAACATTTCATACTGCAATTGAGGCGTTTTACAACTTGATGGGCATAACCAGCATATGCTTGGAGCCTGCTGTTTAATATATTTGTACAATATTACTGACTTTGAAGTCTTAACCAATTTTTGGAAGAAGAATATTGCATGTACAGCATAAATTGAACTTACCATGCATTTTCCAAACCCCCACCACTAGATCTTTGTATATTTATGTGGTTGAAGTTTATCCAACCATCTTTAGCAACACACCATGGCTATTTTGTCAAAAGGAAAAACCATACAGAGCATGATACCTTTCATATTACTAACATGGTTAAATCCACATTCACTCTGAAATGCTGGAAAAAAATCCCATAAAAGAGGAAGATCTGCACTGCTAATTGGACTCACTAAAGTAAGCAGTGCGGATCTTCCTCTTTTATGGGAGTAACACATTTTAATCAGATATATCTTTAAAGTGCTGAAGTTGCATAAGATTTACAACTTGATTTCCAACCAGAAGAAACTACAGTGCTATTTTCAAACATATACATACGTATCTAATAGGTATTACCTATTGTAGAGTATCTAGCTGCAACCTGCGCGAGCAATTCAGCTAGTCGTGTAGTAAAATGAAGGGCCTAGTAAATGGTAAAGACTTGCTCGGAAATTATGAGGTCCTGCAAATCTTTTGTCTCTACGCACATAATATGAAGTGTGAGTGGATAAGCACCCACCAAAAATTTAGCAACTATCCATTCCAAGAATATGGAGCACGCTCGACAACTAAATAGTCCCCCCTTATGTCCTTCGCTACACGGATCTCATCGTCCAAATAGATAGTATCAAACCTGAAAATGAAGATAATGGAAATATCATTGCAGGAAAGCGAAATATTCTGTTTGACATCGTTAACAGTAATATGCAGAGGGAAGGATCAATGCCAGTTTAACATTACATAAGTATTTAGCCTTTTGGTCTTCATTAGTAATTTACCATGTGTATTGAGAATACCTGGTGCTCAAATAAATAAAAGGACCCAAAGGGCCACATTAAATTTGTTATTTTCTAGCTCACTGTCTGAAGAGAACCAAGTTAAGGTTGATTAAGCTTTTCTCCCATGTCCTATCTCCTAACAATATATAGACAAGGAAAGAAGGGCATGAAAACGGTTGATCTTACACATCTAGCTTCTAGTCTGAAAATTATCACCTTGAATCCTCCCATATCTTACTCAGATACCCGTGTCATTTAGATGAATAAATTGAGTTGTATTTGCAAAATTGCATGGATATATAAATATAGGCATAGCAGACTTGGATTCGGGCCAACCAAATCCAGTAATGTCTAGCCAATCTCCATTTCTCAAGTTAGTTGATTTGTCTAGCAACATGACAATACCATGTGAGACCGCTAATCATTTTTCCGATAAAGCATTCTGCCTTCCATGCCTAGATTCTTCCCCTCCTGTTCTTCCAGAAAAATAATAATGAGAAGAATTGAAGACACCATTTACAAATCTGGTGGTGAGAAAGGCTCCTAAATCCCTGATCATTTGCTCAATCTCCTCTTATTTCTATGTAAGGACCTAACTGAATCTGGAAGTCAGAAACTGTGTCACCCCATCTTCCAAGAAGAAAAGAAACAATCCGACTTTTACGGATCAACCACGGCGAATCTTTTATTGCCAAAGATTTCAAGAGGCTTGGCAAGGAGGTTTGCAAGAGGTTGGTGTGAGGATGAGATAAACAATGTTAGACTTGGAAGTTATTCATTAGGCACAGAGGCTTAGAATCTCTATGAAATTCCAATCGATTCATCTGATTCTTACTCATACAAATTTTCTCACAATTTCTCTCAGTGAAACAGAATTTAAGTCTTCTGATCTTAGGAGAGTGATTAAACTGAATCGCCAAGTCTCTGTGCTTACATCTTGTTCTTTTTACATGGTTTTGTAAAGCTAATGTCAAACAAACAAACAAACAAACTCTTGTGCACTCACCATCCTTTCCCAAATGGCGGGAAGGGAACCTCCCAATTGCCCCCCTTCAGCATAGCACGTGTAAACCTGCAAATGATAAACATCGATATCGCCTTGACATAACAGGAATGCAGTTGTTAAACAACAGAAAAAGGTTATCAGGTCCTACCGAAAATTTACTCGCTGGGGTGGTTGGATCTCGATGCTCCCGTTCACGACGAACGCGCCAGAGGGCGGGAAGGTGATGACGTTGTTGAGGCTCCCACCTGGAACGTCGATGACCTGGAGCACGTCGCCGGCGGCGGTGCGGAAGGTGGGGGCGTTGCGCACGATGAAGAGCTGCTCCTGCTCGGTCGTCCAGAGGAGGCGCCAGGTGCCGGAGAGCTTGGCGGCGTCCGATACGGTGTCGGCGTCCGGGGCGGAGGCAGCGAGGGCGTCTATGCAGGAGACGATGTCCGCGAGGCGGGACGGGTCGGACTGGGTTTCGAGGCCGCGGCCCTGGTCGGCGATGAGGCGGAGGAGCTCGGCCTTGGCCGGCGGCGGGCGGGCCGGGAAGAGGGCGCGGAGGAATCCGACGGCGTGGGGCGCGGCGGGAGCGAGGCGGCGGTTGCCGCGCGGGCTCGGCGCGAAGGTTTGCGCGGCCGTGTGGGTTTGGAAGAGTAGTGGCGCCATTGGCGAGGATTTGGTTTGGGTGGTGGAGAGTTTGGAGACGGCTGGACTAATTACTTTAGATCCCTTTCTTTTCATTCATGGGCTGGGCTAAACTGAGCCTAATAAACATAGGCCAATCAAGTCCATAAACCCGGGAGCTATATCTGGCTATTAAACGTTCGATCGGGTTCTGGTTTTCTTTGCTTATGTATTTCTTTGGGTTTTCTCAGTTTCTTTATGGTTTTCTATTTTTCTTTGTTTTCTCATTGGTTTTCAACATTCTTTCTTATTTTTTGTTGTTCTTTGTTCCTTTCTTGGTTTTGATGGGTTTTTTGCTTTTTTTTCTTTGTTACTTTTCTCGGTTTTTTTCGTTTTTCTTTGTTTCCTTCTCGAGTATCACTATTTTCATTCTTTTTAATTGGATTGCTTTGGTTTTCATTTTCTTTCTTGTTTTTATGTTCTTATTGGTTTTCTTCAATTTTTTAAATGTCACAACATTTTTTAAATGCGGTAACATTTTTTAAGATATCATGTACATTTTTAATACTATGCAAAACATTGTTTTACATTGTATACTTATTTTTTTAAACACACATGCATTTTTACTGAAATGAGGAAACTTTTTTTCATTGTCATGATCATTTTTTTAAAGATTTTATACCATGTTGACATTTTTTCAAATTCATGGTTTAAAATTTTTGAATGTAAATTTAATCTTTTTTAATATATTCACTTAAAATATAGATAAAAAAGAAAATATTGCATGATGTCAACGTGGCCTCATGATAATGTTCAGATGACGAAAAAACTTCCATAATGACCAGGCCCATCACCGACTCCTGTAGGGTGCGACTGGGTGGAGCTGGCTACCACGTCGCATTATGCGAAACATATCATGCTTATGAACCCAGTTATTCCTCAATTTTTTTTCTGTAGTCAGCCAAAAATTTGGGCAATTCCTATTCAGCTCTTATGCGTGTGTCAGTTCGACATTGTTACAGTTACAGGGCACGCATAACATTTGTACATGGGCCGGCCCATCTATATCTACAATATTTGCACGAACCATAAAAAGCATGAACCAATAACATGGTGATATGAACATACAATCTGGTTTGGGATGACCGTAACCTTGACTTTATTGCCGCTAGCCATGGAGATGAACTTGACATAGTAGAAGAAGCACTACTACAAGTCCAGTCAACACTAACTGGCCAAAAAGTAGTCATCATTGAGGCGCCTTAGACCCGTCCGTGATTCTGGGTCAATGATGACACGAAATCACTCATCGACTGATCGATCGGTGACGATTTTCAAGAAGCAACCTGAAAGGTCATCACCGACCAACCAAAAAGCTATGACCGCACAGTGATCACACTTTCTAGGTTAAGAAACCTAGGGTTGCATTGTTAGCAATGTACTAACAATGCAACTATAGATGCATTGTTGTACATAGTTATCACATGCACAATGCATAATCGCATCCACCATAATTGCCTTACATAAATTGTCACATGTCCAAATTTCTTGGGGCAACATATTCAAGTGATAATGGAGAGAATAGTCTTGATGTGAAAGAACCAGTAACATTGTTGAGCGAGAAGTATTGCGGCCTCAGCAAACCTGACACTGCATATTTCACCTTCCAATGAATCCTTTAACTAAATGCAAAATACCCTTAATTTCTCTCCTTCAAGGTTGGTAGCTCAAATTGCACTCCCTTCTTTTTGTGTAGTGCACCTAATGACCTAAGGTAGAGCAACGTTGTTGCTATGCCATTTTAGATGCACTTCACAAAATACTCTTACAAAAAAAGAGTTGTGAAGTACACTAGCAACGATGTGTGTTCTCTCGTGTTCATAGAAAATAAACAACATACTCATATATATATATATATATATATATATATATATATATATATAGTTACTATTCACCATCTAGGGTGCAGAATTAGTTATTCTTCACCCGAGGTAATCTTACGATCATTTCATAATTAAATTATGTTTCGAATTCAAATAGTTACATTCCTATTGATTCACTATGTAAACTTTGACATAAGAAAATAAAAATATAGGTCATTAGACAAGAAAATTTGCAGTTTATGTGTATTTTAGATTATGTTTTTACGTTTGTAATTTTACATAACATAAAATATTTTTTACGACGATTATATTTTTTGTTACGATTCCTTTTTGCGTCGAAAATAAGACAAAACTTATGGAACGTAAAATTACGGTGCATTGATGGTAAAATAGAGGGGGGGGGGGTGAAGAATAACTATTCCTCACCCAGGGTGACGAATAGCGCGACCCTATATATATATATATATATATATCAGGATCTTTCCAACACTCTGAGCTTGCCAAAAGAATAAAATGTAAAAAGGAAAGGTGAAAATCACCATGACTTTTGCATAAGGTAGGAGATAAAAGTAAAAGATAGGCCCTTCGCAGAGGGAAGCAGAGGTTGTCATGCGCTTTCAGGGTTGGATGCACAAAATCTTAATGCGAAAGAACGTCACTTTATATTGCCACTTTTGATATGGACCTTTATTATGCAGCCTGTCGCTTTTATTTCTTCCATGTCACAAGATCGTATAAAGCTTATTTTCTCCTACACTAATAAGTCATACATATTTAGAGAGCAATTTTTATTGCTTGCACCGATGGCAACTTACTTGAAGGATCTTACTCAATCCATAGGTAGATATGGTGGACTCTCATGAAAAAACTGTGTTTAGGGATATTTGGAAGCATAAATAGTATCTCTACTTGGTGCAAAGAATTTGGCTAGCATGAGGGGAAAGAGCAAGCTCAACATGTTGGATGATCCATGACAATATACTTTATTTCAGATATAAGAAAACATAATCCATTACGTTGTCTTCCTTGTCCAACATCAACTCTTTAGCATGTCATATTTTAATGGTGCTCACAACCATAAAAGATGTCCAAGATAGTATATTTATATGTGAAACCTCTCTTTCTTTATTATTTCCTATTAATTGCAACGACGACCAAAGCTATGTTTGTCAACTCTCAACAACTTTTAATCATCATACTCTTTCTATGTGAAGTCATTACTCTTCATAAGATCAATATGATCTCTTTTTATTTCTTTTTATTTCTTTTTATTCTTTCTTTTTCTTTTATTCACTCAAGATCATAGCAAGATAATCAAGCACTTGACTCAACACTAATCTTTATTATATAGCTCACGGACTCGATTACATAGAGGTGTCATAAAGCAAAACTCAAAACTAGATCATTCCAAAAACTTGGTAGTGTGATGGTGATACGATACTAGGGCACCTCCCCCAAGCTTGGCAGTTGCCAAGGGGAGTGCCCATACCCATATGATTAAGTCTCCTTTCTCATAAGTGGTGGTGACGGGGTTGTTGATGAAGTAGGCTTGTCGTTCATCTTCCAAGGCATAGGCTCACCATCATAGAAGGATGAACGAGTCTCCGGGATCCTCAAATCTGCAGCCAAACTCATCCTCTCGAATCTATATTCATACCCACAGTTTTGGTTTTGCAGGTCATAGATCTGGGCTTGGAGGTGCTCGATTTTCTCGTGAAGCTTGAAGATGGCCTCCCCAATGTTCTTGGCATCCAGCTTGTGGTTGTTGGTGAACTCCGCGATCATCATATGGTTGGCATTGAGTCCGCGTTCCACCATCTCTTGGCACTTGAAAACTTGTTGCTCCATTGCCTCGAGCCTTGTCTCCACGCTTCCGGTCCTCCTTGGTCCCTCAACATCGCGGATGTGCAGCACCCCCTCATGCACCTCAATGGTTTGAGGGTGTTGCAGCACTTCCGCGAGGTAGGGGTTGATGACCTTCTCGAAAAACTTGTCTTTGGGGGCACTTGGAGACGTCATGATGATCTAGATCTGTCAGAAAAACAGCTCGAAACAAGAATAGAGGACAATTGCGTGATACATGAGTCAAAACCTTCGGGAGATTATATAATGAATTTTTACCGACCAAAATACGTAACGTGCAAGAAAACGGAGTCCGGAGAGCGCACGAGGTGCCCACGAGGCAGGGGGCGCGCCCTCCACCCTCGTGGAGTCCTCGTGTCCTTCCCGGACGGCTTCTTATTTTTCTATTTTTCTAAATATTCCAAAATAGAGAAAAATTGCCATTAGAACTGTTTTGGAGTCGGTTTACTTACCGTACCACATACCTATTCCTTTCGGAGTCTGAAACATTCTGGAAAGTGTCCCTTATGTATTCCTCCGGGGTTACAGTTTCAATAACACTGGTTTCAACATTTATAGGATTACCTGAGATATAATGTTTGATTCTTTAACCGTTCACCACCTTCGGATTTGTGCCTTCGAAGTTATTGATTTTTATGGCACCGGAACGATAGACCTCCTCGATAACATAAGGACCTTCCCATTTAGAGAGAAGTTTTCCTGCAAAAAATCTTAAACGAGAGTTATATAGCAATACATAATCACCTACATTAAACTCACTAAAAGGACCGAGAAGAGGTGTCTAGAGAGGGGGGGGGGGTGATTAGACACTAAGTGCTAAAAGTTATAGTTTTTAATTTCTTTAAGTTGAAGTGGAGTTTTGGCACAAGTTTAACAATCTCAATACATATCAAGCAAGCATGCAAAGAGTATATGAGCAGCGGAAAGTAAAGCATGCAACTTGCAAGAATGTAAAGGGATGGGATTGGAGTGTGCAAACGCAATTTGGAGACACGGAGATTTTTGAGACGTGGTTCCGATAGGTGGTGCTATCGTACATCCACGTTGATGGAGACTTCAACCCATGAAGGGTAAAAGTTGCTCGATTCCATGGAGGGCTCCACCCACGAAGGGTCCACGAAGAAGCAACCTTGTCTATCCCACCATGGCCGTCGCCCACGAAGGACTTGCCTCACTAGTGGTAGATCTTCACGAAGTAGGCGATCTCCTTGCCCTTACAAACTCCTTGGTTCAACTCCACAATCTTGTCGGAGGCTCCCAAGTGACACCTAGCCAATCTAGGCGACACCACTCTCC